AACGGAGAGATTTTTCTAAGAAAATCGATTAAATTTGCAGAAACTTTATTCTCCTAAAACTTTTATATCAATGATACATTTTATTATTGCAGACAATATCATCATGTCATAAAAAATTAGTTCCTACCAACATACGACAATTTCTTGGAGCTTTACCGGATGATGTGGTGGAGCAATTCTTAGCTGCGTGCAGATCTTCTGATCATGATCAATTATATACATGTGTAGAAAGTATCAGACGAGAAGGTTATGGAGTTTACCAGTTGTTGAAACAATTTTTCTACATATGCTTACATCTCGAAGATCTCAGCGACTTAAACAAAGCTACAATATGCGAAAAAATGGGATTAAGTTTTTTCTCTTTCTTTTTTTCCCATTAATTTTTATAGGAGCAACAATAATATAAAGCAACTTTACTTAATATATGATAAGATAATAAATAATAATTCAATTAAAACTTTGTACTATCAAACGATTCATTTAATAAATTATTGCTGTACTATTCGATGCATAGCCTATACATGTATAATCAATCATTGCGTTTAACTTTAGATAAGTCTTTAAAAAAAAATTTATTTTCAGTTCTATTTAGTTTATCTATTATTAAGTTATTAGTTATTGTCTCACCAGTACAGGTTATAAGTGTTATCTTGTTTAGGAGTGTGAAATGCGTATTCTGGATGGTGCAAATGAGTTCCTACAACTGTTGGATTTTGGGACGGTTGTAATGGAGCAGTTCAAAGTTTCACTTTAAATATTTTCATACCTTTTATTGTACGATCTCATGAACCATTCGCTTTAACAAAGTGAAATAGCGATTTATATGTCAAATGCATTTCCCAATCTTTATCATGCCTTGTTCATTTGATCCATTTTGCATTTATCTTAATGTCAATCTATATTGTCAATTTTAAGTTTAATTTCAGTCCTGTTTATCAGTTAACTACTACAGAATTTTTGGAATCAATTAAAGACTCGATAAAATATAATGCTTTAAAGATGCTTTACGATATTGCTAATTTCAATTTTTTTATAACTGGAAAACTTCATTTTAAATTTTTATTAAGTTTTAGCATTGTGACAGATTATTCAATTTATTAGAAACATATCAGTTATATACACATTAAAGTTACGAAATAAGTGATAGGTTAACATTTGAAGAAAGTATGAGACAAATTATCTTCTTTTTTATTTTTTTTTTCAAACTTTGTATTCACTATATTGAAACAAAATCCAAAAATATGTTAAAAACTTTTGTTTCGACGTTCTTCAGTTACAAATCCAAGGATATATCCTATATTATTTCCGGCTTTGTTGCTTAAAATTTGACCTTTATGAATTGATTTTTGCGGAGTATAAGTTTTTTAAACGCTAGCTTTACCATAAATAATTATTACGCCGGAAATCTGATTAAAATTCATGTGGAACCTGATGGAATTGTTCGCTGCTCTGTAGCAACCATTGCATCTTCCACACTGAAATAATTGGAAATGCTTTTCAAAGACAATCATAAAATCTTATTAACAATAAGAAAATAAAAATGGGTGGAAGATTTTAGAAATCATTCAGAATAAAATATAATTGATAATATGCGATATTTTAGGATTGAATGATTGTTTATTTCTTTTCCTAATTAAATGTAACAGTTCCAGATTGGATTATTAATAGGACTGTATTATAATGTTTGAAATTCAATATTCTTTATTACTGAATGAAGTAAGAATTCAAAATTTCTGAGTTACATCAAAATTTTGTGGAAAAAAAGAGCAAATTTCATCTTCAATCTAATCTTTTACAATGTTGGGCACGAACAAAA